GTTGCACTTTCCTCTAATGTAGCTTTTCGTTATTTTTATCATAGTCAGTGAATGAAAATTGACTGTAAACTAAGTTATTGATGTGATTTATTTATAATTATCTAATTCAGCATTTAAATTGTATCGTAGTTTGATCGCAAGATAACTTCAAGCGAGTTTGTAAGACAAAACCGTCATTAAAATGCACAAAAGTCGCTCAAGTAGACGCTATAAAATCTCAGTATGTATATAATAAACAAACTTCATCATGGAAAGTGCTTTTGTACGGGATTTTCGCACTCGTTGGTTTTGAATCTAAAATCTCACTCGTTCGCTACGCTCACTCGTTCGATTTTAGATTCATCACCAACTCGTGCGAAAATCCCGTACGTCAGCACTTTCCATGAAGAAATCTAYATATATTGAATAAAATCTAGAATCATACAAAAGCTAAGTCAATTAAAGAAATTGCCAAAAAAAAGTATCTGTATTTGTCTTTTTTTGCAAAAAAACAAAAATATAGCAGACAGAAATGAGTTCGATAAAACAATGATAATACCTCATTACGGATTTTGACAGGTCCAGCGCGTCGTAAGTCATTGGCAAATCTCATTAGCAATCCACACTTTCCAATTTCTTTAGCAAACTTCAGACTTGCATCGGAGTAGTTCCATAAAATGCTTCGCACTATATTCATCCCCACCCAACCTTCCTTCGTCTCAATTCCTGTGTCATCAAGCCGTCCCAATAACTTTTTCAGCTGCTGAACAGCACCAAGCTCAACGAGATGGTCGCCGTATTTCTGTCGAATTCCTTGATCGTTGTTATCCATATACGGCTGCAAGACATCTTCGGCTAATTTAGTGATGATCAGTGGCAGTCCAGGGTTTATTGGTGCTTTTAAAAGGTCGATGGCATTTTTCATTTGAACCATTATAGGCACAACGCCKACCTTTTTGGGGTCTGCTACATCGTTACTACATTGAGTTTCTGCTGCMCCACCTAGAACGGTTTGAATCGAGTTTCTATCATCACAGATGTAATGATGTAATGTAATGATGTTGAGCAAAAAAAGTTCCAAAGCAGATGACACAATGAACACTTTGAACAGAAAATTGATATATACAGTGTTTCAAGAATAGAACAATAATAATAACAATAAAAGCAGTCATTCGAGCATGCTTGCTTACAATCTTTAGATTTCTGTAAGTTCTTATACATATAACGTTGAGATTGGCGTGGAATGCTGACTTATTGGCGTTGTTATCAAAAATAAAACGTCATTTACTCAGAAGGAAAAACCACAGCTTTTAATTTGTGGAAATTTTCTTCGTTGACTCCACATGCACACAAACTCTTAAAGAATACATCAAAATAGTAGTGGTATTGTATAAATTCACGAAAAATACCAAATGAGTCAATAGTGAAACATTGTGCTAGGCATTTATAGTTCTATTAACTATGCTATTATAATACCTGTGATCGTAATCTCTTCTGCTTGACCATAGATGTCAACCACAGCAAACAAACGTTTAGGAGTTTTTCCAAAGCAATTTCCAATATCTTTACCATTCTTGTAAAAATGTAGTGTATCGTCCGATTTACGCATCACGCCGRCACGATCCCCTGTCTAAGAAAAAAGGAAAACTATGTGATACCTATTGACAAAGCGATCCCTGATTCACACGAGTCTCCCATGAAAAAAAGGATTCAAAAGAATAAATAAATAAAAAAAAAAGCCGAATAAGGTAGCGTACACTAATAATGTAGCAAAAACTCTTCTGTTTTCTTTTCTTTGTGTTTTCAAGAAAGCAGTACTTAAAAATTGACATTATGCATTTTGGGCTGAAATACTAGCACCTGCAAAGATGCAGAGATGGAAAAAGTAAAGAAAGGTACATGTCCGACATTGCAAGACATTAGAGCTTACCGTCATTTCTATAATGTTTTCACGGACATCTCGTTCCATAGCGTTGTAAGCTATCTTGTTRTTACACCACATAAACACATCTTTGTTGTACTCGGGTAAACTTTTTGGGAAGGAGAACGAGTTGCTGTCTTTGGGTGTTGCTCCAATGCAAAGTCCGCCGACCCAGCGAGGCACTTTGCTGTCAAGACGGACTTCAAATAGTTCGTTGTCGACTAAAGGTTCTGATGTCATCACAATGGCGTCACAAAATACGTTCAACGCACTGTATGAATATCAAGAAAGACACTTAACGTATGATAATATTTGTTTTTTAGACAGGCTGGTAGATAGACCAATCTACCATTAAAAGATAATTAAAATCTATAAATCAATATACATGTAGAACTAACAGTAACTTGACAGCCAAACGAAAAATATGAGCAAGAAACATACAGTAAGGTAATTATTGATTCACACAAAAGATTTAAGCGRAAAACACGACTTATTACTTGATTTTTTTTTTTAGGATCGTAGGGATCAATATCGAAATAACATCAATTCATGACAGACAATCATCAAACATCAATCTTTACAAGATTTTTCCTTAAGTTTTTAAGATGTTCGTCAAGAAGTTATTTTTCCCAATTTTGAAATGGATCATTTTTTGCTTCAAATTCTAAAAGCTATTTATCAGTCAACATAAATCTGTCATGCTTACTTGACAAGCTTTGCGTTTTTACCGGCACGCATCACAGATGCATTTTCACCGCGAGTGTAGGAGAACTTATAACGAAGAGATGCAGGCACAAAAGAACTGCTTTCCGGAATGAGATTTGGTAATCCTGCTGAGCGACGTCGGAGGTCATCTGTTGGCGCAGCTGGTGTTGGACGAGATTCTGGCAAAGATCGTTGAGGACCAAAAGGATATTTCAGGCCTGACAATATTGATTCTGTAAAGTAAAACACGAAAGAAATTTATTGAATTTCAAATCGTGCARAAGATTGCGTATGAAATCTTGAAAACAGTGAGATTGCCTTAWAAGGTATTGTAGGTGTCAAGTAAAAAAATCAATAAGCAACCTATACTAGAACTAACTTTCCAGCAAACGATAATAAGGCTTATAAAAGAGAATGAAAACTACCATAC